ATATATATATATATATATATCAGTCTTTACAAGGGCAAGGTAGTGGTGTCATCAAAAACAACTGATATTACTTAGTCTTTGAGGAGCAAGGCAGGGAAAAAATTAGATACAAAAATCCAGTTCAGGTTTCACAAAGATACCACAGATTCAAGCTGGCTGGAGTGTCAAACGTACAGTCAGGACAACCTAGTAGCTCCTCTGAGGGATGGAGCTGCTTATAACAGGACATACACAGGTGTGTTCAGTTTCCACAGGTGAAGATATTTGGTGTGATGAAGTAAAGTGACCTGGAGTGAGAGTAGGGTGAAACAGGAAGTGTCAGGAAAAAATAAGAGCTGGTTACCGGAGGAGGAACCAGAGATCATGACACTATTTAAACTTGAACTGCCCTGTAGGTTTGAGTCCCTTTGAATCTATAATATATATAATACGAGTATCCAAATGACAATGCTGACTGGTTTTTGGGTGGAAGTGGTTTTGGTAGTTGCGATGATGCTAACTTTGGTATGAAAGCTTATTATGTTAATGGACTTTCTGACACACCCGTTGGTGTAGATGTCAACGATAGAGAGATGCCTATGATCTTCTCTGCTGCTCTCGCTACCCTCTGCAGAGGCTCCTGGTCAGCGGAGGTACAGTTTCCATACCAGACAGTGATGCAGTATGTTAAGATGCTCTCCATAGGATGTTGTCATGATTAAGGGGATGGAGTTTGCCTTTTTTAGGATAAGGATAATCACCTTTATTGGCCAAGTATGTTACACACAAGGAATTTGTTTCCGGTACAGAACCGAGGCAGCCATCAACTCATCCGATGGCTCTAACCATCGGGGGCGTTCACCGTCTTGCCCAAGGACACTTTGACTCATGGACTGGAGGCACGGAGATTCGAACCTTCAACCTTCCGGTTGGGAGACAACTGCTTTACCCACCTCCCCTGTCTACGCAGAAAGTAAAGGCATTGCTAAGCTTTTTTGGTAAGGGCAAGTGGTGTTGATGGACCAATTGAGGTCAACAGCAACATGCACCCCCAAGAATTTAATGCTGCTGACTCTCTTGACATCAGTCCCATTGATGATCAGAGGAGCATGCATCTTGACACTTTTTCCACTTAAGGAGAGGTTACTGTATTGTTACTACACCAAATAGCCCGTTGTTTCACCTCTTCCCTGTACACAGTTTAATCATCAATTGTGATGAGACCCACCAGTGTCGTGTCATCAAATTTGATGACATGGTTGGAGCTGGATTTGGCAGAACAGCCATGAGTCATTACAATCCTGGAGAGAGCACTGCACAGTGTGGTGGAGCCTGAAATTTTGCAAACAATCCTTAGTGACTGAGGTCTGCCAGTAAAAAAAGTCTAGTATCCAGTTACAGAGAGGGGTGTTGGAGCCCAGCAATTTCCCAACCAATTGCTGAGGGATGATGGTGTTAAACGCGGAGCTGAAGACGAACAGCATTCTGACATAAGTTTTTCTTTTCCAGGCATGTTATGGCAGAGACATATAAACTAGCCGCAACTTCTCACGCTCTCATGGAGACTTGGCTCAGCGACTTCATCTCAGACTGCGCAATATGAATACTGGAATTCCATGTGTACAGAGCGGATTGCGTAACAGAGTTATCTAGGAAAAAAAGAGGCAGAATCTGCTTCTACACAAATGAAGATTGCTATAAAGATGTCACAGTATTAGAAATAACTTGCAGCACAAACTTAGAGACTCTTTTCATCAACTGCAAACCATATTATTCTCCCAGCACCTGGCCGAACAGATAACCAATGACTCCCCACTCATTGTTTTAAAGGATTTTAAGACAGCAAATCTCACCCACAAATTGCCCAAATACAGACAGCATATTAGTTGTCCCACCAGAAACAAAAAAACATTGGACCACTGTTACATGATAAAAAAAAAAGAAGCCTATGACTCTGTCCGCTGTGCAACCCTCGGTCTGTCTGATCACTGCATGTCCATCCCATCCAAGCCTACAGGCAGAAACGTAAAGCTGTAAAGCCTGTGGTCAAAACAGTGAAGAGATGCACTAAAGAGGTAAAGTCAGAGCTCCAGGCCTGCTTTGACTGTACAAATTGGAGTTTATTTGAGGCTATGTCTACAGACCTCGATGAACTCAATGACACTGTGGCATCTCACACCAGCTTTTGTGAGGACGTGTGCTGACTAAGACCTTCTGCAAATACAACAACCAGCCCTAGTTCACAGTAAGACTCAATGAGCTTCATCATGTCAAAGAGGACTTTAGGAAGAGGCTAAAAGCACATTGCTTTATCTTATTTGCACATTGTTTTTCTTTTTTGTTCTTTCAGTGGAAGAAAGGAAGATGATGGTATATACACATTGAGAGCCACTGTACCAGAGTCAATTTTCTTGTGTCCAGCACACCTGGCCAATAAAGCTGATTGTGATTCTGATAAGGCCGAGCTCAACATCATGTCAGCTTTGTCTGGCCCAGTCAGGTTGAAGAAGTGGCACTTGAACACACTGCACAAATTACAGCCTACGACCAACTCGCATGTAAATTCTGTGCCTGCGTGGCAGAAATAATTCCCCCTACCAGCAGGTGGCAGTACCTGTATTCACCATTCAGAAAGGGAAAGAAGAGCTATAAAGCAGAACTATAAGTTATAAACAAAACACCTATCATTCAACACAGCTGCTGTTTATAGCTGCTTCTAATTGAGAATATGTCTAAGAAGTTGCAAGTTGCACTGCCGTTTTCTGCCCTTGGTCTATTGGTTGTGGAAGAAGAATGGAGGATGTGGAGGCAAAAAGCAAGAAGAAACCGCACTCAGTGGGTGAAATCATGGATACAACAGTGTCAGACTGAAAGGGCATTCCCAAACTGTTCTCTTCTCGTACATTGATTTGCTAAGCTGAACACCCAATCAGAGCGGCCTCTCTTTTACCAATGAGGCCTGACTGTCTGACGCCAATTCAATATGTCAAATCGGCTGAAAGGCTGCCAACAGGGACCGACTAGTGTTAACTGGCTTCACTGAGACCAACATCAGTGACCCTGATAACTGCTCTTAACTTTGGATTTACTGGTCCTGTTCTCAAAGTGGCATCGTGACATTAAATATCATCAGAACCATGAGTAGAGTACTACAAATCACATGAAATGAAACATGTGCAGAGAAATTGAATGCAGTAGCAAAAATTGATACTCCACAAGGTAGCATACAATATAATCACACAATTAGACTAAAAAGCTGCATAAATAGTAGGAATATCCAAAACTAAAGGCAGTAAATAAATGTGGTAATTACTATCCTTTTAAACATGGTTAGAATTAACATGTGGTTTTCAACAGTACAGTGCCCAAGTGTTCAATATTAAAAACATGCTATGAAGTGTTCATATGAATCAAGTGTAAAGAATGCAGATTACAGTACAACTGAACAATTTATGAAATAAATTTTACAGAAACAATAATGTAAAAAAAAAGTTTTACCATGTGAAGTGCCTGATCCAGTTTAACTTAAGTGTGACTAAATAATGTGATTTTATTTTTAAAAAAACATTTCTATTCTATCTTTAATAAGAGTATTTTTATTTGCTTATGTATGAAGTTCTTTTCATAATGGCATTTTTCTCATTGACAATTACATGCCACTAAGTTATTTCAATAATTGTTCATTCATTTACATATTTCATACAATTTATTCATATTTATTTATAGGGATGTCCCAACCCAATCCGCCAAGTAATAGACAATGAGGGAATTACTGGCTACACTGGCAGGTACAATCTTATATACAACCCATGGTAAAACCCAGAAAATAAAGACACATTTTAAAAAGAACTGCATGTACAGCAGAACTGATAAGAAATTACAGCATTTGTTTTATAGTGAGCCTTCAATGTTTCGGTGGATTCTGTGGAGTGTTTTATGCATGCAACTCCGTTGAAATAGAATTAAAGATAAAAATAGGCTTCAGGTTGGGGCTGCGAGTGGTATGCCAGCCAAAATGTGGACACTGAAGACAGCTAGATTAATATGCAGCTTTTATATTGCGTGACATGCAGCCCTCAAAAACATAACCAAGTCTGCTTCAAATACAGGACTGTAGTTTGAAATAACCATTGAAATTGGATCGGTTTTATTCTGGCCACTATGGATCCTGTGAAATATGCCTAGATGAGTGCTGATACCAATACTTGGTATCAGATCAGGACATTTCTATTTCATAATGCTTTTCATATTGAACACTTTGTAGTTCCACAGAATAGTGATATTTGGTGCTCTTTTTGTATATTACAATTACATTCATCTATTTTAGGCTTGTGTAAGAAAATCTACTCGGGTTAACTGCTTCAGAGCAGTTAGCCATGATCTACTGTACCTTGGCTAAAAAAGTTAGCTTTATATATAATTTAATTGTAGTAATCTTAGTATTGAATGTTTGTTTCTATCACAGGGTGTGCAATAGAAAATGCAAATTCATGAGATCCTAACCCCCCTCCCTAAAAAGCCAGCATAAATGCATGTGCATCTTTCCCT